CACATGTAGTTGCGCAAGTGCTATTTCCCCACACCGTTGTGAAGTATATAATGCATTTATTAAATCGATTTTGTAGTAGTAGTTGTAGTATTGAGAATGTCAGTGACCATTCAAACGAGCCTAGGAGATCTCAAAGCTGAGCTGTTCTGTGCGGAGGTAGTATACGATGGACAGTGTGGGAAAATATTTTTTCTTTTCCTCAAACAGGCGTGAAAACGTATACGAAAACGTATGTAGTATGTAGTACAAACGTATGTACTACGTTTGTATGTATCAAACAAACGAAACGAAACGAGTATGAAGTATACGAAAATCCACAATTTTCAGATTTTCATCAACACATGTAGTTGACCATTGATACCAATTTTTGCTCAAACGATCGGGGTGGGTAAATTTTCACTATTTTCACAAAAAATAACGGTTAATCTGGGAAAATGTTGAAACTGGTAGAATGAGGTATGGGAAAAATATGTTTGCTTTTCTCAACTGAGCTCGTGAGTTTGCTCACTACATTATGAAACCAACGAAAATTTCCGAAAATTTCCATATTTTCACCAACACATTATTATATTGGTAGTATGAGTTAATACCACTCCTTTTTGATTGATCAGATTTTGAAGAGGAAATTAGGAAATTTTTACAAGGATTTTTGGGAGAAATTTGAGGAAAAAATTTTTGATAGGAATTTTCACGATCACACTCCTTGGAATTACATTGGATCTAGGAATAGATCTGGGAGCTTTTTACGGGATTTTTTATGGGATTTTTCGGGAGAAATCGGGAAATAAAATTGGAGAAATTTTCAAAGCTTCTTACAGTAGCAAGGATTTTTATAGAAAAATTGAGGAAAAATTTGGAAATTTTGTAAAAAAAGGAGATTTTTTTGAGAGAAATCGGGAAATAAACTTGGGAAAATTCGAAGCTTCTCAAAAAAGCAAGAATTCTTGTGAAAAATTGAGGAAAAATTTTTAGTGATTTATTTTTCAGGTGCCGAACGCCTGTAAGAATTTCTTGGCTTTAGCGGCGTCGGGGTACTATGATGATACTAAATTTCATCGTTTGATTCCGGGGTTTATGGTACAGGTAGTGAGGGAATCTT